CTTAAGTTTATAGTATTGGCTGTTCTTCTTGTCGTTGCCTTCCGTAAGTATACTATCGTTCGTTTTCAAATTTGGCACATCCAAGATCGTAAATATGAATATTTATACACGAATATATAATTATAATATACACAGAAAATTATTTATGCTATCAGAATCTATGTCTTGGAGGCGTTTAATTTTTATATGTCATGTCACATATAAAATAGAGTTTTTGTATGAAAGAAAGGTTGGTAGTAAAAATAGAGTTCCACTTTCCTTCTCAAACGAGATTTGACCCAAATCATGAAAACTAGTAGTAGTATAAAATCTTAATAAATAATTTTGTTTTTTTCACAATCTATGTCGGGACTAACACATTATTCATATGACAGGACAAGATCTTGCAAATGGGGCGGACGTGAATCATCTAGGGGCATGTGACACTGACCTTGAGTGCTATACCATGCGTTGTGACAGAGGTAATGGTTATTGCGATCACAGCAAAGTCGACGGCGTTTGTAGGTGTCCTAAATTACAAGCGGTGGAGACGAAGAAACACACAAATGGAGTCGACCCGAATCATCTAGGGGCATGTGACACTGATCTTGAGTGCTATACCATGCGTTGTGACAGAGGTAATGGTTACTGCGACCACAGCAAAGTCGACGGAGTTTGTAGGTGTCCTAAATAGAGACACAAATAATCATGACTAGAGCATATGAAATATCATGGACAATTTGTATCAAAATGCCCAAGTATTAAATATGTATCTCAAAAATCAATAAATATATTATCAAAAGACTATCATGATCGTTATCTTTAGAATCGTTTTTATAATTTTTATTGCAATTCTTGTTATACCAATTCATTTGTATCCACATTTGCTTTGAATGAATTTGTAAAGATATTGCGCAAACAAGAGACCTATAGCAATGCTCCATGCTAGTCATGGGCATATTATCCGAAATCCGAAAACCGAACCGGAACCGAACCGAAAAAACCGAGACCGAAACCGGTCCGAAAATTACAAAAACCCGAACGGTTCCTATATTTCTAAATCCGAAAAACCGAAACCGAACCGAGACCGAACCGAGAACCGAACGGGTACCCGAATATTTTAAATTTATTAAAAATATTAATTATTTTTAATTTTAATATATATAAAATATCATTTATAAATAAAAAAATCCGAACTACCCGAAAAACCCGAATATTTTTCGGTTATTTCCGGGTTTAACTCGGGTTTTCGGGATTTTTTCCGGTTTATTGGGCTTCAAACCCGAACTAAACCCGGATTATTTGTAATACGGTTCCACTTCGGGTTTTATAAAAAAATATAAACCCGAACCGAACCCGACATTATCCGAACCGAACCGATCCGAAAAATGTCCGGTTCCTAAACGGTTCCTAAACATCCCAACCCGAATAACCCGAAAACCGAATAAACCAAACCGATCCGAACCGAAAACCCGAATGCCCATGACTACTCCATGCTATCTGGTTTTGGGCCTGAGATGGGCCTAAAGAAAAAACCGACCCGACGTTAAAACCAGAAGAATCTTTTCGTAAGGACAAAACACTACATTTTTTTTTATTAATCAAAGACAAAAGTATATAATAGTCCTGTGTTTTCGGTAATAAAAATCTCTGAGTTTCCAGACATATAAGCTAGTTGAAATCCAAAAGTCAAAGGAAGCAAAAAGAGTGCGAATCTAACATAGATGTGAATACTACTCTACCAGTGTCATGAAAGCTGGCCGTTGACGAGTAAACTCTTTGATGAGCGAATCTCAAGATTGGATATTCTCCTAAATCTAAACTCTTCAAGTTTTCATTTTCTTCTCCCATTGCTTCTCTTTCGTTTTTTTTTTTTTAAAAAAGACAAAAACGAAAGTTACTACTGGTAATGTCCGAATCCAATTGCTTCAATACCGGAGTTGAAATTTTGATTCTTGTCGATTTCACCAAACTGTTTAATTCTTGAGTTTCAGGTGTTCTTCCCTCTTGTAGACATGAGAAACGACCAACAACAGTTTCTTGCAATCTTGGTGACTCTTGTTGTAGTATTATTATCTCTTGGTGGAGGAACAGTGGAATCTCATAAAGACCAACCTTTATCAGGAATTGCTATCCATCAAACATTATTCCTTCTCAATGACAAAGCTCATGTCAAAGCCTCTCCAACACTTCTTGGATCTAATGTAAATAATTAACCATTCAGATCCTTTCAATAGTCTTTTGATGCAAAAAAATCCTAAAGTTCAATACAATTTGACAGGGTCAACATAGTGAGTTGGTGTTGGTGGAGTTTAGCTCTCCACACCCATCAGATGATGATTGGATTGGAGTGTTCTCTCCTGCAGATTTTAAGTATGTATTATTATTATTTAAACATTCTTTCTCATGTAACTGTAGAGTGTGTATGTTTTTAACACTTTTGTGTTGTTCTTACAGTGCTTCCACTTGTCTAGGAGATAACAAAATGGTGAGCCCACCTAGGCTTTGTTCAGCTCCTATCAAGGTACTTCTCTCATAACATTGTCTCTGCAGCAATTCAAATCATTATCTCATTCCTTTTTGTGTTATCTCTTTACAGTTTCAATATGCAAACTTCAGTAATCCAAAATACAACAGCACTGGAACTGGTTCATTAAAGCTTCAACTCATCAACCAGAGATCAGATTTTTCATTTGCGCTCTTCTCTGGTGGTTTGTTGAATGTAAATACTCATTCACTTAAAATTTTCTCTCGCTTGAAAGGTCTTTTAAGCTGACTTTTCTTTGGTATTGTGATGATAGCCAAAGCTTGTGGCAGTCTCAAACAAAGTAGTCTTTAAGAACCCAAATGCACCAGTTTACCCTCGCTTGGCTCTAGGCAAAGAATGGGATACAGTAAGATTTTTGTAAAACCCCTTTTGATGTGTTCACTTAAAAGAAGTTGAAATGAGTTTTGTCTTTTAACAGATGACAGTGACATGGACTAGTGGTTATGGACTTGATATAGCTGAACCTGTCGTTGAGTGGGGGGTTAAAGGTGGAGAACGTAAACTCTCACCTGCTGGAACACTCACCTTTGGCCGCAACACCATGTGTGGTGCACCTGCAAGAACCGTGGGATGGCGTGATCCTGGTTACATACACACATCTTTTCTCAAAAACTTGTGGCCTAATTCAAAGTATACCTACAGAGTTGGTCATAGACTACTAACCAATGATGCATTTGTATGGAGTAAAGAGTATGAGTTCAAATCTTCTCCATTTCCAGGACAAAACTCTCTCCAACAAGTTGTAATATTCGGAGACATGGGAAAGGTTTGAATCTGATACTTTGGTCTTATTGTTATGGTAAGTAAGCCTCCTCTCATGTTAAATTTTGTTGCAGGCTGAGGTTGATGGCACAAACGAGTATAATGATTTCCAACGCGCTTCACTCAACACCACAAAGCAACTTATCAAAGACCTAAAGAAGACAGATGCAGTTTTCCACATTGGAGATATCTGTTATGCTAATGGATACCTTTCACAGTGGGATCAGTTCACAGCTCAGATTGAGCCTATTGCTTCCACTGTTCCATACATGGTTGCAAGTGGAAACCATGAGCGTGACTGGCCAGACTCAGGATCTTTTTACCAGGGTTTGGACTCTGGAGGAGAATGTGGTGTACCAGCTGAGACAATGTTCTATGTTCCTGCTCAAAACAGAGCTAAGTTCTGGTACTCTAGTGACTATGGGATGTTTAGGTTCTGTGTGGCTGACACAGAACATGACTGGAGAGAAGGAACTGAGCAGTACGAGTTTATTGAGCAGTGTTTAGCGTCAGTAGACAGAAAAACACAGCCGTGGTTGATATTCTTGGCTCATCGAGTGCTTGGCTACTCCTCCACGTCTTTCTACGCGGAGGAAGGCTCTTTTGGAGAACCTATGGGTAGAGATAGTCTTCAGAAGCTATGGCAGAAGTACAAAGTGGACATTGCAATATATGGACATGCACATAACTATGAGAGAACATGCCCGGTTTACCAGGTAAACATACTGAACTGGGCGTTCGTTTTTTTTGGTTCTAAAGATTTAAGAACTGTTCGGTTATTGTAAAATTTGGTTCGGTTTTGATTCGATTAATTTGGATAAATATGTATCTAGGCCTATAGTGAACAAGAATTCTATAGAAAAACAGAGCCGATTAATATTTATGTTGCCTTGCTTTGTTTGTGTGTATTTAGAGTGTATGCACGAGTGATGAGAAAACCAATTACAAGGGTACATTCAATGGGACGATTCACATTGTTGCTGGAGGTGCTGGAGCTGGTCTTGCTGAGTTCTCTGATCTTCAACCGAACTGGAGTATGGTTAGAGATTATGACTACGGATTCCTTAAACTTACAGCGGTTGATTACTCCAATCTTCTGTTTGAGTACAAGAAGAGCAGCGATGGAAGTGTCCATGATTCATTCAAGATATCAAGAGACTACAGAGACGTCTTGGCTTGTGCTGTTGACAGTTGCCCTGCAACTACACTTGCTTCATAAACAAGAGAAGAGAATCTTGCAACTGGATGAACTCTTTGATGACATTTGTTTCCATTGTTAGACTGTTGTAGTGTAGCACACATCAATTATAGTTACTGGCAAAATAAGTTTCATAAAGATTTGTTACTGTTTAAACAAACAAAAAAGATTTGTTACTGAATCACTCATGACACAATGGTTACATTTTATTTTTCAATAAATACCATAAGGTTCAGGACTAATATTAGTTTCATCTCAGAGACCATGAACCCCTAACAGATCTTATTCACTTGAGCTAACAAACTATGGCAAATGTTAAAGCAAGAATCATATATAATAATTTGATGATTCTTTGATGCTCTCAAGTATTACACAAGAGAATCTTGATCTTTATCAAGATTTTAGATTTGGCACTTCATTCTAAAAGCCAAACCAAGCAGAAGAAATAAAAAAAAGCACAAGAACAACTAGAAGATGAAACAAGAAAGACAAGAGACACAGTTCCAGTCCATGTCAAAACCTTGAAGGAGAAGTATTGACAACGATATGCCGAAGAGGACGATCAACATCACCACCACCACCATGTTTAACAAACTCAGCAGGTGTCAAGAAACTACCATGACAAATACACATGATCCTAACTTCCTCTCCTTTGCCATACTTGTATAGAATCCCATCAACACGTCTACCATTTGGACCGTCACCTTTAGTGAACACACACGGCATGTCAAACAAACCAGCAGCAGACGTATCCGTGCCTTTGCCTTTACCATTCTCCTTCTCATTCCCTTTCTCTGTTCCATGGCTTTCGCTGTTATTAGATGAACATCTTGTCATCATCTTCGGACTTGGTTCACCACAACTGTTTGATGAACCTACAAGACAACATACGTTAAAAGACCAATACAAATTGTTACTACTAATCTTGAAAAACAACCTTGTTGGTTATTCTTGTTGTCCATCTCCGACAAGCTCGACGAGCTACCTCCTACAAGAGAATCAACACACACTTGTCTAGGAGAAACCAAATGTCTTTGTAGAAACCCACTTTTACTAGCAGTGACCCATCTCTCAGTGTCAAACGACGTCGTTTGGGAACTCTGTTTCTCACATCTCCTTCTCTTAGCTTCCATTCTCCTAAGTGACTGCATCTCTTTCCTTTTCCTCCATTCCTCCTCCATCTCCGCTGGTAACGACGTCGTTCTCGCTAAACCCACAGTGTAATTCTCTGGCTCAACCTCCTCCTCCTTGTCAGCCACGATAGAAGAACTCTTCTCAAACGGCATAGTGCTCAAAACGGAAGATGATCGTTTAAGCTTCCTCGGAGTCTTGTCTACTCCGAAACGACCTCCTAAAGACAAACCAAGATTCAGCTCAACAGCTGTCTCATCTTCGCAGTCTGATGTTTCATTTCTTCCGTTAACAACGTTTTCAGACATGAAGCCTCGTAAGAGATCTCTCGGGTACTTGTTTATGTCTAGAGAAAGATTTGTCACTTCTCTGTTCCATGCCCTTGCTTCTTCCCCCATTAGATTATAAAACAAAACCAAGAAAAGAAAAAATAAAGTTTTTTTATTTTTCTTGTTTTGTTTCTCAGATGATGAAGAACTTTGTATATCAAACAAAAATATAGAATAATAAAATCATACGGAAAGAAGAAACATGTCGGAGTTAACAGAGACGGTGAAGAAGAAGAAGAAGATGAAAAGCTTTATTTTGAAATTGACCTGAAGAAGAAAACCCACTTTTAGACATTAGAGACAACCCCCTCTTGACTGAGAGGAGGCAAGTGGCCGCCGAGTGACCTGTATTAACGACACGTGGCCGGTGGATTACGTCGCCGTTCCATAATGCTGCTTGAAGAAACGTGTCTTAAAGCAACTGAGTTTATCAGTGTCTCGACACGTGTCCACCAGTTAAAGAAGATCCGTTTACTCTCTTTTTTTTTTGGTCTCGTCACTTTTTTTATAAGAGATTTAATAGTACAAACAAAATTCGATTCCATATCCAAAATTAGATTAATTAAAATATTGATAAACCAAATAGAATTGCAAAATGAAGTTGTCTTCTAAAAACCAAATAAAATAGCTATATATATCTGAAGCTTTTGATTATGAACAGAGTGATAAAGAATGAAATAAAAAAAAAAACATAATTGAAGTTTGATAAATCTAGCGACTCGACAACGTCACTCACGTGGGACGGTCTGTAGGTCCCATGAGGAAGCAAGTTGCTTGTGGAAAAGTGACGGAGAATAACACTTCCACTGTAGAAAAAGTAATTAACTACTACGAAAAGGTGAATTCACTAAACTAGTTGACTAAAAAGACTAATTGTAAAGTATTAAGCTGAAAAGTTGGATTACTTGACTAATCTTTTGATAGAGAAGAGTGGAGATTAATAACATAACAAGGTGATTAAGTCAAAAGGCTGAGAGTTTTGGCTGAGTCAGTAAAAGGATGGAGAATGAAATCTATAGATAGAAAAAAAAAGAAGATTTGTAGGATCCTTTGGTGTGTCACTTTGTTGAGTCAAGTGGGGACCGAAGGAGAAGATCTTTAGACCATTAACCATAAAAACCAAAATGTCGCGTGTCATTCGCCTGTTGGTTTGTGCAATAATAATGCAACTGAGGAAACTATAAAAATACAAGTGAAGAAGACCATCTCTTACCCACAATGAAGCCCATAAAGTTAAAAGGCTTGCTCATTTTGGGTTATGAAACTTAGTTTTCATAATTAGTTTGATTTTGGGTACTTTAACGTTTTTGTTAATTTGAAAAATAAACTTATTCAGTTTGGGTAAAGATCTAACCAAATAAATTTAGATTTATTTATTAATTTTGAGGAAAAAAATCAAAGAAAAAGGATTTAACTTCACCAATCTTCAAGGAGTTTACTTTTTGGGTAGGGTAATTTTGTTTGGAAACCGGTCTACATGAAGCTTATTTGGTATTTCAGAAATAAAGAAAAAAATCAATCACAGTTAAAAATTTTGATATCCCAAACAATGTCTAAAATAAAAAAAAAAAAGGAGTATGATGAACCTACTACTCAAACAAAACTTCTAACCTCAGATCTCTTCCTTTCCTATATAGAAACTTCAGATTCTCAAATTTCATATGCACAATAACAATTTTCAGAGTTTAAAGATGAATTGTTAACTCTTTTAACCTCTGGTTTGAGCATGACTAGCTTTCACATCACCATTATGTTGATAAGCTTTGCCATCACGGTTGTTTCCTACAGCAGAATCAAGGGTTTCAGTTTTCTATCTCCCAAATTGGGGCCTTTAATACAATATTCAAACAAAAGTACTTTCTCTTCTATAGAAACTCTTATGTTTCCTATTTTTATAGCTGACTCTCTATGAGCCTAAAGTTTTACACTATGACATCAGAAGAAAAACCTAGTTTACAATCAAATGATGAATTCATGGATCCTTTAAACATACCTTTAAGAGGACTAGGTTCACATTCGAATGTCACAAACCCGATGCAGTTTCCCTTTACATGTAAAATAAACAAAACTGTTTGAATATGCTCATATATTCCACGTAATTGAGGACATGTCTTAGAGATACATTTAATAAGAAAAACACGCCATGTAACTTCTAACATGTATAGCATCTTTCTTAACGGCACCAAAACCTTTGAATGTTTCATTGAGTTGTTCTGGAGTCGCATCCATAGGCAAGTTTACAACAAATATGGAACCACCCTCAGCTAATACATGCAAAATGGGCTTAGGCTTTGCAGGAGAAGCTTTTACAGCTGATTGGTCGATTGCTTCAGCAGATGAATGTTGGGAAACTGGTGCAGGAGCTTTTGAATTACTTGAGGAACTACCTCCTCGACATCTTTCTTGTTAGCTTCTAGCTCACTAAACTTATCAGAGACAAACCTAAAGATATCATTATGCAGAAGGTAGCTTCCTTTCTGCGGCATAATGAAAAAAAGACTTGAGAAAACCTCATCTTTTCCTAATCTTCAACGGTCAGTAGTGACTAGAGTAGCAACTCCATTCTTGTAAGAATGCTTGGGAGTCAGCGGTCAAAATCTGAATCTTTGAGTACTCGTAATCAAAAGACATGATCTTCTCATTAATATCCTACAAAACAAAGATTAAAGTAACTCCTAAGAATAAAAAATGTTGCTTCCAAGTACAGAACAAAAGACTCATACCGTAGCTTATTTTTAAGGATTTGACATAAATCATCATCTAGACATCAGAACCAGGACGTTCTAATACACTTATAACATCCAGATAGTAACAATGCACATAAAATGATTGACAAAAATATGAGGAATAAGTTTTCCATCATTAAAGGGAAAGGAGATAAATAGTTTGATGAAGTACTGGTATATTGGTTCAGCACAAGAAAATAAAAGAGAATGGCAAATGGAGTATTGTCATAAATTAGGAGAGGATAGAAATTCGTTTTGAAGTTTCTATTAAAAGTTACACTTGATGTAAAGACAAATATTTTTTCTTTTGAATTCAAAATAACATTCAATTCCAAAAAAAAAAAAGAATCAATGCACTTCAGCTGGTGATTCATACAAGTAGACTTGTAGTATTGCTGGACAAAGGCATTGCTAACAATGTGTGGACGATATGTTTGTGACGAATGGAATATTGCGGCTTTCAAAATGTATTTATGTATAAAATCAAAACCAGATTAAAAAGGAATATTAGACCACAAAGCCCCCGGCAAGAATCGAACTCGCGGCCTTTCGCTTACGAAGCGAACGCAATACCACTATTGCTGGACAAAGGCATTGCTAACAATGTGTGGACGATATGTTTGTGACGAATGGTGCGGCTTTCAAAATGTATTTATGTATAAAATCAAAACCAGATTAAAAAGGAATATTAGACCACAAAGCCCCCGGCGAGGATCGAACTCGCGGCCTTTCGCTTACGAAGCGAACGCAATACCACTATGCTACGGAGGCTCTTGGCATTCTCCAGTGTTCGAAATAAAATATCAAGGAATTTGTGAATGTCAAATGAAACCATTGACGAAATGCAAAGCTATTTTTTTTTCTTATAACATCAGCTTTATTAATTATAGTGAAAGAATATGATCAGTATGAGGCAAATCAGTTATTAACACCGGTACATAGTAATAAAACTTGAAATTCACCCCTTCATCAACATGTTTAACAAGTCGATTTGTAACCTTGTTTGCATTCCTTCTTGTCCACTAAAACCTTATGTCTTTATATTTTTTGAGGCAAATCAGTTATTAACACCGGTACATAGTAATAAAACTTGAAATTCACCCCTTCATCAACATGTTTAACAAGTCGATTTGTAACCTTGTTTGCATTCCTTCTTGTCCACTAAAACCTTATGTCTTTATATTTTTTGGACCACCAGTTGATGTCTCTTTTCCAATTATAGTATGCAAAATGCATCTTCTTGTTATTAAGAATTTCAAAGCTATTATGTGTTAAGAAAAGTCATATAAATGATTAAAAACAAATAAAATAAGAATGTTAATGTGCCTGCACGAGTCTCTGCCATATATTATCGGCCCAATAAATAACTACCTGTTGGGCTACGGTGTAGAGAGGCCATGAATCGGAGTCAGAAAACTGCATTGTATACTTGAGCCACCCATTAAATCACCAACTATCCACTTTCACATTTACCACGTACAGTACTGAGTACATACAAAAGGATATTAATAGTTAATTATTAACAGCGTGCTTGAATTTTTAGGAAGTAACAGCATATTGACAAAAGGGCTTATTTGCCAAATAACAAAAAAAAAAACTTATATCTAGCTTGAAAAAAAAAACTTATATCTCATCTGTATGATATATTTGCGTGTGTGTTTTGCATTTTTTAACAAAAAACAATCCATATACATCTTGAACCACATAGCAAACAAGGGGAACCAAAGATGATGACATGAGAGGAGCAATATCAATTTGGTTATGCTCAAACCGAACCAGAAGTCAAAACTGTAAGATCTCTCGTTGCCCCGACATGGACTTGATTGGTCTTTCACTTTTCATTTCCTTTCATTTTTTTGCTCTTTTCTTATTCCTACGCGTTACCCTAAAATCCTCTGGGTTCCATAACACAGTTGTCAATAGATAAAAATGTAGAGCATGCACCTTTTTCCCTTGAACTGCTTCGATGTTTTCAGAATTCATAGAACTATCTTAAAAAATAACCACTAGGTTGAAGTTTGCTTTTACGTATAAAAATGTATAAGGGAGGTAGGATCGTAAAATTACTACTATTCATGTTTTCGAGTTAATATCGACACTATAGTAAATGTGAAAGGAATTTAGAGACTTCGCTGTCGTTCTATATATAAAATACGATACAGTAAATCAAGCAGTAGAAGTAGCTGAACGAAGCAGGCCTAAGCTACACAAGACTACATAACACAATACAAAGCTTTTACGTATAAAAATGTCAGTTTTCTTCACTGCCTTTTGTGTCCCCTTTTGATCCCATTATTTTATTTTCTTACATATCATAGTACAATTATTTGTTAATTTATTCATCCTCTACAGTCTACAACACTCTGCAAAACAATAAAATTAGCAATGTAAACTGTACTATATATATATACAAAAAATTAAAAAAAGCACAGTGATTTTACAAAAATTACATGGACCACGCGAGGCCTCTAAAGATTCACACGGCAAAGATTTTTAACAATTATGATATTGATACTGATTGCACTACCGATTTGACTCCATATACGTGTCTCATAATTTAACTCGTTTGATTATTTCTTAAAATATCGAATAGTGATGTAAAAGCCTCGCTTCGAACATGTGAGCACGCCTTAGAATTAAATGCCAGATGAATTAGATCTAAACTACATATATTTATGAGTGGAAAAGCAAAAAGTAGAACTCCAATTAATTTATGTTTTATAATTTGTTTACATAAAGCAAAAAACTGCGTCAATTCTGTAATATTGTATCGAATTGTAAACTCTTTGTCAAAAAATCGTAATTTTATCGTGAAAACTTCTGACATTCTGAAAAGCAAAATGTCAAAACAGAAGTTTTGTTACCATTTCACTTATTTTTCTTCATTTTCTTTAGTAATATTATTTGCACCAATAAAATACTAATACATCCGTACCATTAAAAGAGCTTTGGTAAGGGTGGCAAGGACGGCTGTGATTCTCATTTCGATTATCTTCTTTAGTATCGTTTCTCTTTTCCGATAAATAATAACATTATACTACTATTAGAGTATTTTTTAGTTAATTAACTCCACCCATATATTTTAATTTTTAGAAGGAGATCGAGTGAATTCCTATCGGATTATTATTATTAGCTCTTTCTAATACGAGGTTGATATTACTCCATGATGCTAAATTGTTATAGAAGCTTACTGAAGTGAATTTTTTTTAACAACATTGGAGTGACATTTTCTATGTATGTGGCAGAAAATATCTTGACTATGTTGCAAAATTATTTGCATGACACACCAAATCTTTAGCTTTTAAATCCCCACACAATCCATATGAATCAAATTTTACTACATGCTAACGGTTTATCAAAAAATTATTGGTTACGATTAGAAACACTCCCAAATCACTATAATACTAACAACATATATTAGAGCTCTAAAATTTAACAACTCTTTATTTTGTTATCAAACACAAAATTTATCAGATACCAATACTATGACTTTTTGGTAACGCCTGTATTTAAAATTAAGTTTTAAAAAAAAAAAAATTAAAATGGCTATTTTCAAAACAATTTTGGAAATAACAAAGTTACAGCAATATCAAAGAATTACTCTTACCATTCCGTGAATTCATCAGTAAAAGTTACTGATGCCATTGACCTAAAGGACAACATAATCAATGCTAATACAAACTTTTAAAATAATTAATCCAACATTAACAGACCAATAAAAAGTAATTAAAATATCAGCGAAGCAACCAAGTGACCATCTATTTAAACGCTCTTCCCATGCACACCATTTCATATCTTCATCAACTCTCATACACTTCTCTTTGCTCTCACTCACAATCTTTCTCTCTTCTTTCGTTACTCAAGCCTGAGATGTCTCCAGAAGCTTACGTTCTGCTCTTCAACTCTCTCAACCTTGTCACCTTCGAAACCTTTGCTTTGCTCTCTCTTTTCATAGCCACAGTTGCTTTGTTTCTCTCACCAGGTGGCCTCGCATGGGCCTTCACCAAGTCATCCAAGACCAGGGTTTCGATTCCTGGTCCGTCTGGCTCTCTTTCCGTCTTATCCGGCTCCACTCCTCACCGTGTCCTCGCTGCGCTTGCCCAACGCTTTAAGGCCTCTCCCTTGATGGCGTTCTCCGTTGGGTTTTCACGTTTTGTCATCTCCAGTGAACCGGAAACGGCTAAAGAGATTCTAAACAGCTCTGCTTTCGCTGACCGGCCTTTTAAGGAGTCAGCTTACGAACTTCTCTTCCACCGCTCCATGGGGTTCGCACCTTATGGTGAGTACTGGAGGAACCTGAGGAGAATCGCTTCAACGCATCTTTTCAGTCCGAGAAGAATCGCGAGTTTTGAAGGTGTTAGGGTTGGAATCGGTATGAAGATGGTGAAGAAGATCAAGAGTCTTGCTATGTCTTCTTCAGCTGGTGGTGGTGAAGTTGAAGTGAAGAAGGTGATTCACTTTGGTTCGTTGAATAATGTGATGACAACTGTTTTTGGTGAGAGCTATGACTTTGATGAAGTTAATGGTGATGGGTGTTTTTTGGAGAGGCTGGTTAGTGAAGGTTATGAGTTGCTTGGGATATTTAATTGGAGTGATCACTTTGGTGTTCTTCGTTGGTTTGACTTCCAAGGAGTTAGGAAGAGGTCTAAAGCTTTGGTCTCAGAAGTCAACACTTTTGTCGGCAGAATCATTGAGAATCACAAGATGAAGACGAGCAACAATCTCAATGGTGAGGAAAATGACTTCGTTGATGTCTTGCTTGGCTTGCAAAAGGAAGAAAAATTGTCTGATTCCGACATGATTGCTGTTCTTTGGGTAAGCTGTTTTACTAGTATTTGTTTTTAGGATAAGTTTTAAAATTTTTAATATATGTTATCTAAATTTTTTTTTAAATTTGATGTGGGTTTTTATATAATTTTAGGAAATGATATTTAGAGGGACAGATACAGTTGCGATTCTAGTGGAATGGGTACTTGCAAGAATGGTATTGCATCAAGACATTCAAGCAAAACTCTTCAAAGAGATAGCTTCCGTTACAAGTAACAACACTAGATCCTTGTCTGATTCCGACATCTCAAAACTACCGTACCTTCAAGCTGTTGTCAAAGAAACCCTAAGGCTCCACCCACCTGGTCCTCTCCTCTCGTGGGCTCGTCTCGCTATCCACGATGTCAACGTAGGTCCCAACTTTGTCCCTGCAGGAACCATAGCTATGGTCAACATGTGGTCCATCACACATGACGCCAAAATATGGACCGACCCTGAAGAGTTTAAGCCTGAGAGGTTTATTGAAGGTGAGGATGTAAGCGTCATGGGTTCGGATCTTAGGTTGGCTCCATTTGGGTCAGGTCGCCGGGTTTGCCCGGGTAAGGCAATGGGTCTAGCCACTGTTCATCTCTGGGTTGCTCAGTTGATTCAGAATTTCGAATGGGTTAAGGGTTCTTGTGATGTGGAGCTCACTGAGGTTCTCAAGTTGTCTATGGAGATGAAGAAGCCGTTGAAGTGCAAGGCTGTTCCAAGGAATGTTTGCTTCGGTTGATGGATTCGATTGTCTGTTGCCTCGGGTCGGGTACTTGTTTAATAACTACTACGGGTAGTCTCTTTTAATAATTAATAATTAATAACTATGGTTTGTGTTGGAAGTTAGGGTTTATGCACGTCAATCGAACTTCTCTAGGGCATTGGTGTCTAAGTTTTTTAATTTGCTTCGTGTAGCGTAACGTATCTGATTCTATCCCATTGTCGGCTTTGCTTTAGTGGCTGGCTATTCAATAATATCATATCTATAAAATTGATTAGCTAAGTTTATGCAATACTATGAATTATCGTACTAAGTTTCCAGCAAAGATACAACTATATTTTAATTTATAAATTTATATCGTGGGTGAGGGTAATGAAAACCCGGATTTCATCTTTATCTATATGCAACGAGTTACACAGTAGTATTTGATTAAGATATTGAAATATTTCAACTAACACATTCATCAACAATGAATTTGGCTCATCGGAGTTAAATGAGCTTACTCGCACTTTGGTGAACCGAGGGAACATAAAGATTTAAGTGATGTAAATGTAATATTAGGCCAAATTTTAAAGAGAATATTAAAATATAGTGACAAGATCCTTCATACTGTATTCATTAGTCATATGAAAAATTTGAGTTTGGCTATAAAGGAAACCGAGTAATTAAATGATCATTGGTAAAATATCAGTCGTATCATGTTTTAGCATGTTGATCAAAATGATCCAGATTTCTAACATGTGAATAAATCATTGGATATTAAGCTATTTAACCCACTATACTATAATAGTAGATCAATGAGCAACTGGTTTTCTCTTCTTACACATGCTGATCCATCATTACGACGTGATCAAAAATTCCAACTAGAAAGGTGGGAAAAGCTAAGAAAATACACCATATATCTATTTGATTTTTTTTTTTAAACTCAATGTTTTAGGTAAATTTAATATTTATGCCCAAAAAACATAAAATTATACTCTCTATGTTCCTAAAAGATCTATATTCTAGTTTTTAAACATTTTTTAATAAAACACAATAAATTTACATAGTTTTTTGTATTTATCTTTTCCATGATTTTAAACCAATAAAAAATCAATTAGTGCAATTAAATTTTTTAAAATATATATTTTTAAGGAATGAAATGAATATTTGTTTTTTTTTATCAAGAATTTCGAGCGATATAAGCAGTCTTTTTTTTTTGAAACCTATAAGTAGTGTCTATAATCCACTAAAAGGCAAAAGAAAAACAAAAGGTACTCTTTAGTTGACGCTATATTCTTTTTACAGGCTTCAATATGGTTCGTTTAGAGTTCACGAGTAACTTGTTTTTTAACGTTGATTTATTATAATATTAAAATTATAAAAGTATTACATAGATAATTAATAATACTGTTTGTTTTAGGATATCTATACTTAAGTACATCACATAAGTTGTTCTATAAAAATTGATGTCTAACCAAGTTTATTTGTACATTATTAAAGATTTTTTGTAAGTCTTTTTCTTTGTAATCTGCATAATTGTAACTTAAATGCTTTAAGTAGTTAATTATGAAATCTAATTGGCTGATTAAAAGGTTTAATCAGATGATTAGATAGATTATTCAGTATTAGTTTCGCACTTGATGCTTGTGTGTATATCTTGACATTGTGAAAAGTGATGATTTAATTATTTCTATGCCTACAATTTGTTTAGGAATGGCCACAATTTCGCTTTTATCCGCCCATACATGCTAATTGCTTTCTACTTTAACCCGTTAAATCGAATACTTGGCTTGAACAAATAGAATATCAATTGATCTATTAAATTAGTTGCAAATATCGAGTATTAAAATAAAAATAATAGTATTATAATTACTGGCTTGTTATTCGTTTTACTATATATGAACAAAGATAATTTGTTATTATATTAAATAACTTATTTATATGTCTATTTTAAGAAATAAATTATACATATGTGATATATATATATATATATTGAAACATCTTAGAACTTTTTCTTTCTTATATATTTTGTCTTCCACATTGACTAAAACATTAGAAAAACAATGAGATATTTTATTAAATAATAATGTTATTTAGTTTGAAATTCCAACAATAAGCAAATAACTTATAACAAATTTATCAAGTACTTTCTAAATAATTTACAAGAAACAAATAAAAAAAACAAATAACTTGAAAATTTAAAATTTATCAAGTATTTGAAACCATAAAATATTTAGTTTTAGCAATCAAGTATAAGTTTAAAATTATATATGCTACCGTATAAGCAAAAATCATGTATCAAATATATTGAAATGTGAAGTATTCGACTTGTGTTCACCTATAGCTCTCACCTCTTATATCACAAATTGATAAGATATTATTTGTCATCAAAGTTCTGAAATATATATTTGATGTTTATATATAAAATAAAATATATCTAGAAATAACAACTGACATTTCTCAATAAATAATACTACTATTTAACTTACCAAACAATTAAGCGTTAGATGTTAGCTATCACGTATAGTATATAATCCCTTAACTTTTCTTCAAGATTGTTGTTTCTGTTGTTCTTGTGAATTGTCACATTACTAACCACATATTCAAAGGTACAAAAAAATAAACTTAAAATATGCTAAATGACGTAGAAAAACAATGAAACAGAAATTTAACAATCATAATTCGACATATTCCTCTACCACTAATAATAATTCGACATATTCCCCTCCTTGTTTTTTTTTTGTCGAAGAATATTGTTTGTCCGATAGGAAGTTAGGAAACTGAACACCATTTAAAATTAGCTTGAGATACAATGTTTAATGTGTATATGGATTAGATAGAATTTATGAATCTTCCATCGCTGATTAACTATTCATATTCCTCAACAAATTTTAACTAATGTGAGTACTCCTCACTAAACTATACTCGAAACTAAGAATATATATAGGAAAAAACCTATCTGTAAAATAAGAGGATCATGTTTTGGCCGATTGTTGTACGCATCTCGTTGTACGCATCTCGTTTTCCTACTTACAAATATTTATTCTGCACATAATTATTATACTTATATGTGTTGTTTTATATGATAAATGGGTTTTATGTTTTTTACTAAATCCAGAAAATGGTAACTCATCCATTGTATGTTTGGATATCGTTTCATGTGATTAGTAGTTTGTCTACGTAATCACGTTATATAGAAAGCTAAAATATCCAGATCAAATTATCATAGAGATCTATACATGAATTTGGAATGTTAGGACCGATGGCATATCGTTATTATCTTTCAAATCATTGAAAGATTGAAGGTTAAGACTATTTGTTAGCCCTCAACTATGGATTAAAATATAAGCTTTATCATACAAGAGGGTACCTAGGGTTTTTATGCTTTTGGAAAAGAAAAAGACGTTTACCTTTATGATAAATAAAAGCGATATACTGTAATCAGTTCAACATGTTTGGACATGATTGTTTCAGCTGTATTGTATTCCAGTTCGATAATAGCGTTATTTAGGAATCGCCGATGGTTCAAAAAAAAAAGTTATACTGGGAAATTATATTAGTGAAGATATATTTTACGATGTGAACAAAAAAAAAGATATATTTTACGAAAACGGTCGCATGTTACAACTTACATGTAAGATTAACGGCTTTTGACTGTAAGGGCTAAACATAAAATAACGATGTTAGATGTCTTAGGATTTAGATACCTAATATATAAACTTTACACTAGTCCAAAATAAGTGCAAGTTACTTTCCTTCCCATCTCTTTCTTTCTTTCTTTAAATTTTCTATATTCCCTTGAATCGATTCTTCGACTCCTTAATATGTGGTTGCCATATATATGCTTTAATTTTTAGAAGATTCACTAAGTTTTAAATCGTTGGATGCTCGCTCTTATCAAAATTTAGGTAATATCTATTTGTCTTTTTTTTTTTTTGAACTGTAGAATATATATTTGTCACGGTGATGGTTGTGACTCGTGATCGTGAATAAAGTATTTTCAAATACTAAATATATAATTTGAAATAGCAGTTTAGTACTATAGCATTACGTAATTCTTTATCGTTTTTTGTTTGTCTAACTCCAAATCTTTTAATCACACTTCGTCCGTGATTTTTTTCTTCTTATTCTTCTTACTACAAAATCATGATGAGTTAATTTTCATGTCATTCGCATCGCACACTTTTATTTTTTCACTTTGAATTCATTTTCTTTTTTTTTACTCAACAGCACACACGCCCTGATAAATCTGGTGTTTATTTATTATTACTGACGTTTTAAATCAAATGATCTCCATTAGTTACCACCTAGAAAGCAGTCTAAATTGGTACCTAGGAGGATCTGCCAAAAAAAACAAATCACCTATATAAGGGCATCTGATCGTTTAAATGGAAGATTTTTTTTTTTGAAAAAGAAAAATGGAAGATTTTTTACAAGACTCAAAAATGAATTCAACTTTCAGCATCCAGTTTTCCAGATCGTCGTCATTTAAACCGATCATAGTATAAAATTAAAAAATTATGGGCTATGAATCATTAGCCCTCTTGGATTATCTCTGCCTCTCATTGGGCAAGAGAATTGGATCCTCTGTCTTAGGGTTGTAGACACTAATGAGATCATTAACTATTCATACTTTTGTTGATCTTCAAGTGGCTTAATTAATGATCACGATTCTTTTTGTAAAGCCGAGTTTAGATGCTTTTGTTAAAGTTAAATATTCACTTGCAACTTTTAACAATCGTTACTAACATTTCAAAATATATTAAAACCCAAAAGGCTATGTATTTTCTGCGCCACTCATTACTCAATAGCACTCGCATGAATTATATTGAGTACAACTATACAGATATATCGGTCTACCACAGTATGGCCGTGTGTTTAAATCCTCAGTACAAAATATGATCGGAAATAAGTTTTGCCTAAGATTACCTCATGCGTTTTTATTGATGGCTTTAGTTTAGAATGAATTCAATATATGCGGACAAGAATCATCATTATGATAATATATGCTATTTTTGGTCTTAGCCAAAAAGAATGTTTGTTAAGAAAATGCATACTAGGATTTTTACTTTGAGAGTTACAAAATACGGATAACAATATATATGATATATAAATTCTTGTAGTTATTATAAACCAATAATTTAAAAATATAAGATGATATTTTATTTTTTTACGTTAATCACTAATACTATTGTTTCCCCTGAAAATATATATTTTTAACATAAATTACTTTTCTATCATTCAAACCCCTGAAAGATATTTATATTCCGCCTTTTGGTTTACCATGATTGTGTTAGAGACTGGTAGAAG